ACGATTCTCTGAGTTATGTAGGTTAGTGAAGAATTCTACGCTGTGATGTGTATGGAACTTTTTAAAAGTCTTCCTTTCTCTGTCTATTTGTCTTCAGGATTACGACTTTAGATGTCTGATGACCAGCTCATATCATTCACAGAGCTACTGAAAGACCATATAGTATGGGACAGCCATTTATTCCAAGTTTGGGAACTTTCAGTAGTATGCACCCAACGGAGTTACAACCCAGGACCCTGTGGTTTCAAGATGAGCTCATAGACCACTGAGCAACTGGGACTAGATCCAGTGGCACATGAACTCCATCTTCTGCCAATTGATGTTATATATGGAGTAACTTCCAGACAATGTCATAGGCGAATAACTGTTCTCTTAACTAACTTACTGAACCGCGCCAGTTATGACTTTTCATTAGAGCATATAGCCAATTACTATTAAGCGTCAGATTAAGTCTCATTTGTTGATATGCAGGGATTTGCTTGATTACACGTTTGGTCATTAGATGACATCAGCTGGAGAAACATCGGAGAACCAGGAAGTACTGTCCGGTGGTTCTGCAACTGATGTCATCTAATGATCAAACCCTTAGACAATCGAATTCCTGCAAAATAACACTCAATGATTGTGAATTTGTCTAGTTACATTACTCACCGACATTCACGATACAATATGTAGACTCAAGTCATAGAAACCACTCTGTTAAGTAAAACTTTGCAATTATTTTTATTGTCAAATAAGCAAATATAAAATGGGGTATTTAGTTACTTGCGCAGATATTTTATTGGCTGAGGCGAATCACACTGTCAATTAGATAGGCATCGTAGAGTTTACTGAATATACATTATTTCCTTTCATAGTCGGAATAAAGTTCTGTGAATAGTGTACTGGTAGCTTATACAATCTCAGACGTAGGTTGATTGCACAGTTTTTAGAAATCTTACAGTCAGATATAATTTTATACATATAATTATATATATTAATAATATGCTTATACCCTCGCCAAATCTTCATTATATAAAAAATTCTGTATTTATTTAGTTTGCTTTCAAACGAGATGATATGTATCATAGAATGAACAAAATATGTAACTGTTGCCCTTATCATTAGCATCATTCCTTTGGGTTCCAAGTGGAACATACAGCTTTTTCCACACATCTTCACTTTCTCCTATTTTCCGTTGTCCTCAGATGGCTAGCTTCACGACTGCCTATAATCTCTCATCTCTTCCTACTCCTTTCCACACGATTTCCTCCATGTCACCCCCACACTGTCGAACCATTCGTCGTTGCTTCCCATTTTGATTCCACTTGAGTGATGGCCTGCATTGCGCGAGATGTCATTCGACGGCCTCCTCAGTGGCGTATGCCCAATCCATCACCATTTTCTCCTACATATTTGTGGAGTAATCGGCTCTTGGCTTATTTGTTCTACTGCAGAGTTTTTTGTTTGCTAATTCTTTCTGGTTGGCCAGCCTACCATTTGATTTTCAGTATGGAGCCAGCCAGTGAAGGTGACAGCTGTTGATAGAGATCTGCTGTGACGTGTTGGAAATTCTTTCTCGTGACGTGTGCGCAGTGTAAGTTTCTGACGCGTATAGAAGAACTGACTGGCCGGCTTAATTTCTGTGTTCTTTACTCTGTCTGAGTGCAGAAGATTTCCAAACTGGTTTCAGATTGGTGAAGGCGTATCTTGCCTTTCCGATTACAGCTGGCTTTGAAATCTTCATCCGTTCCGCTGTCCTGTGGTTGAAACCTCACTTCCTAGATTAGTGAAGAAAGGAAGTAACCTCTGTCAAATCTTTCCCGTTGATGGTGATTGGTGCTGGTTGTTGCTGTTGTTGCTCTTGGTTGGCTGTTTTAATCACCTCCGTCTTCTCAATGTTCACCTGGAGTCCTGTCCTCACTGCCTGACAGCCACTGCATCCAGTCTGTTGGTTTTCACCTGCAAGTCTTCGAGTTTGTGTGACATTAAACATTGAATCAAACACGCGTGAAATCCAGATCTTCTAGAGTCTTCTTATCGGTAGGAAGTGCTGCCCTTACTAAAATTTATCCGATAGCTGACATAACTATTCGGGTGGTCTATGTATCGAAAGAGATCAGCTGCTGAAAAGAAACCAACTTCAACAGTATGTACAAATTCACATGAATATCTCAGAGCAGGTACGCTCTTCGAGCATATTCTGAATAGGAATGAGACTCACAATCTGAAGTCCATTGCTAGCGCAATTACAAGGTATCTAATGGTTTAAAGGCGCAAAGCAGATATTCTCACTGTATTCAAAAGTATTAACAAGCTAATAAATCCTAATTTAATTCGGTTTTCTGAAGATATCCTCGTTGAGCAACCAATATCTGAAGAAATCGTGATTAATCTCAGCTTACTGTCGTAATAACTACTTTCCACCTACTATACAATTATGTATTCCGATATGTACTACTAATATCTTTTGATTCACGGATCTCAGGTTCCTGTATTTTGCTAAGTGATTAGTTGTTCTACAGTTGTTCTTGTGTCTAAAGTGAGATGACTAGGTGCGCGTGGACGTACTTCTGGATAGAATTGTAGTAAGTGTCAACGCCTGTCACGTGAAAGGCGCGGGTCCGATTCCCGGTCGAGGAGCTGGCTTTTCCCGTGAGTCGATCAATCGACTGTGCTGTGCAGCAAATCTCTCACACCATCACTGTCTTCTTAACTGGCCACGACTGAATGACAGTCAACTAGCTGTACTCTGCATATCTCCACACAAACATATCGCCAGTCATCCACAGATGATGATCACTACTCCCCATCTGTCTGACTAACTTATACCAACACCTCCAATCCACGACACAAGACATTTCACTAACCAATGGCAGTCTCATTGCGTTATTGACTACTGACTATAAACCATATACGAAAATATCTGGAATCTTCTCCCATAATTATTGTAAATACCTTATTTATTTTGGTGTCGACTGTAATGTTCAGTGCGATGACTTTCTACTCTTTCCTCTTTCATTAAACTACGAATTTTCGCTTAATTTTGTCTCAGTAAATGAACGAAATATTCAGGCATATGGAGTCGTAAGAAAAAAGCGTAAACAACGAAGAAAAATTTCCCTTTTCGATGGTTTATTTTCATAAGCTGCTGCGCTATCGTAATTATATTTAACAAAGAAATCTGTAGAACAATCAGATACTGGTAAACTTTGACCTTGAAAAATTGTATTAGATAATGTAGGGTGTAAGGAGAGGTGACTAATTGAAAGTTAGAAAAAAGGTATGATATAATAAGTGTGAGATAACGAATAATTAGTGAGATTGTATGGAATGAACAGGAACTAGTGGGAAGGCGATAAAGTGTTTTTACATAAAATCTGTATGAAAAAGTAATGTTATTAATACACAGTAACAGAGTGATGATAAATTTATGGATGATGGGAATAATTATGATAATAAAATAGTAATAATAATAAACTTACATAATAAAAAGAAGCAAAATTATAGTAAGAACGTTACTCTGGCCACGTTAGTGTGAGTGAATGTACACAGCGCTTTTGAATGCAGAGGTCCGTTTTCAGATCTCGAATAGCTAATGCTTCGGCAATGTAGAGATGGCGTATGTGAAGTCTCTTTGTACGCCTTACCACTCCATTACTGTTTGTTAATAACATTGATTTTTCATACAAATTTTATGTAAAAACACTTTAACGTCTTTCCTCTAGTTCCTGTCCATTCAAAAGAAGCTTAGTTATTAGTCATTACCTCACACTTATTACTTCATGCCAACTTCTGCCTCTTTTCAACATCGAATCAGTCACCCATCCTAGGCTATACCTTACATTACGGGATACATTTTTCGAGGACAAAGTTTATCACTATCCGAATGTTCTAAAGATTTCTTTGTTAAATAAAATTACGATTGGTCACAGGATTTCATCATGAGCTGACATTGGTTAGAGAACCACTGGAAAGCCAGCTGAAAATACTGGACAGATGTTCCATCAGTCTAGTTTGGAACTCTTCAGCAGTAAGCACCCAACAACAAGGTTCGAACCCAGAACCTTCTGGTTACAAGGCTAGCGAGCTCGTAGACCATTAAGCCACTGGGACCCGATCCAATTGCCAGCGCATGAATTCTAACTTCTGCCAATTCACGATATAGCGCAACCGCTAGCCAATGTCTTCGGCGAGTATTTGTCTCATACCCGACCTGATGCACCTTACTGGTCATGACTTCCCACTAGAACCTTAGGTGACTACCTACTTGAATAGGGCCAGTTGCCAGTGAGCATCTCATTGATAGTGAAGTTAGAATTCATGGGCCATTGGATCGGGTCCCAGTGGCTTAACGGTTTGTGAGGTCGCCTTGTCACCAAAAGGTCCGGGGTTTGAACCCCGGTGGGTGCGTGCTGATGAAGAGTCCCTAAATGGGATTAAACAGCTTTCCAGTGCTCCCAGGTTTTCCAGTAATTCTCTAACCAATGTCAGCTAATGATGAAATCCTTTAACCAATCAACCAAATCCCTACAATCCCATGCTTGAATAACTACGATTTTAGAGCAGCTTATGAGAATGAATCGTCGAAAGGAAAATTTTCTTCACTGTTTACGCCTTTTTCCTTCGGCTCAGTAGATTAAAAATGTATTTTTTCATTTCCTTAGCCCCCGTAATTTCCAAAGGTGATTCCTCATTTTATGTTTTGCTTTCCATAAGGTCAGTACGTCGGTGGCACAGTGATTAGGACTCTAGCCGACGCACACCTGATATCAATTGTCGGTCTGGAAAATTTGGGCTACCGATATCACATTCTGAAAATTGCATACTTGTACCAAAAATACGGTGTGGAAACAAGCTATAATCAAAAACGTAAAAAAATTAAGCAGATCACTTAAGGAACCGAATTAGAAAGATAACATATTAACGCAAGAACTTCGTTCATAAAAGTGGATATATGTATGAAACGGAGACAGAAAATAATTTTTCTTATAAATGCAAAATCAATAATGTTGGCTTACTTCTAGAATAATTCAAATACATTTTATAACACCATCCATGCATAGTGAATATTGAAACAAAATCATCTGTTGAACATTGGACGTCACCATATTGACAACTGTGAAATAAAAAATATGTACACAGGATGATAACACAGTTCAGTGCGATATAGCAAATAGATCATGATATAGATAAGAATACCTTCTGATTGGACACAAGTCAGTAACTACAGTAATCTGTCTAGTCCTTTGTTTGGTACAGATTGAATTCTGTCAGTCGAGTTTGAAAAGTGGTCAACATGCCAGTGTGTGGCTGGCCATCACGGTGGAAGAAATCGGCCACAGGAAACCCATTCTGAATTAGGTTTTGTGCTAGTTGGCACGCACTCAGCAGTCAGCCAGCAAGGCGTATCTGCAACCTTAAAGGAACTCATATCCCTTGTGAGATGCAAACCCCCGTCACCACCAAGTGCTGCAGTCAGATAGGTTACCATCACTGACTTATTCGGGCTCGCGATTGACCTCCTGTTGAACTGTGTGCAGCACTGGGTGACGTGGTTTGGAATCTCAGAAGGGTTAAGAGTTCATTCAATGGTTGCATATTCGCCTTGATGGCAGACTGGTGAGTGCCAACTAGCACGAATCTTAGGTTCAAGCCTTCTTGCCCATTGCCTCCAACCATCTCAAATACACAAGAATATCAAATTAATATCTCCCTAAAAAGATAAATATTTGAAGTTAGATTACTAGGTGATATCGGCTATGGAATCACTGAAAACTGAATGATTATTCAGTAAACGTTTGTTTAGGAAAAGCCTGTACACCAGCAGTTATGAAACTAGCATAAACAGTAAAAAAATACTGTCTGGAAAGTAATTATTTCTCATTTAAAGGGAATTTACATAGAGAGACAAATGGTGTTGCTATGGGTTCACTAGTTTCCCAACAGTCACTGATCTTTTCATGAATAGATTCGAAGATAACATCTTTTCAAGCATACTCACTCCTAAAATATGGTTAAGATATGTAGATGATACTTTTGTAGTACTAAAACGAGATCTACACAATTCATTCATGGAGAAACTGAACAATCTACCTCCCAGAATCCTATTTACTTCGGAAGCAGAATCATATGTCGGTGAACTACTATTTCTAGACTGGCTACCTAGTTAACAGGAGGGTAAACGGACATTTTAATATATCTGTCTTCAGGAAGAAAACGCACTCCAACAAATTTTTAGACTTCGGTTCATCACACTCCATCAGTGCAAAGCTTTCAGTTGTTTCAAGTCTTCTTAGACGAGCACACTCTTTGATGTTAACGGATGAGAAAGAGAAAGAAGAAGAAATATCAGACATCACTGAGACTCTCAAGCAAAACAACTACCCAAGGAACTTCATCAGCAAAATCAACACAGACATTAAATATGGCCGGAAACGCATTCCGAAAACATGGAACTCAACGGTTGTCATTCTATATAGAGTTGAGACGTTAGACGACATCAGAAGAGTACTCAGTAAGCTGGACATCATAGTTCTCTTCAAAACATCAAACACACTGCGAAGCAACCTTGTCTATATAAAAGACAAAATCCCTGAAGACTCTCTATCTATTTGAGTCTATAAAATGAAATGATTGCTTGGAATGTGATGCGATACAAATCGTGCAAACCTCGCCAGAGAGAAATCAAGGTAATCAGAAGAAATGGACACAGCACAGCCCCCTCTGTTAGACCACCGAGAAATCAAATTGAACTAGAAAACCTTGAAAATCATCAGCCAGCCACTGTTTGTCTACACGCTCTAGAATCAGGCCACAAAATTGACTTTGACAATATTGAAATCATCATCCGGAAAAATTTCAGGAATCACAAAGAATGTCTCACATAATCAGAAGCACATCATATCAAATGGAATCCAAATTGTTTGAATAGGAATGATGGACTGAAACAGAATTTGACCTGGTTGCAACACCTCTCTGTCCCATAAATTGATAAAATCAGTTTCATTATGTAAACACACGCTGTTTCTGTGATTTTACACACTTATCAAATCTAAAAGTCTAAACCTGGTTTTGTTATCTTTACTAAATAGTCAACTTGACAACGTAAAAATGACCTCATGCTGAGGATTGATGATTAAATTGTTATATATAAGCTGAGTGGATTTTGTAAATTCTGGTCTAATATCATTACTTTGATAAAGCTATTAGCAGCATCATTAAATAGCGAAACGTCAGTAAAAGCGATTATATCACTTTGTTTTTCATTCATTCATCGGGAAATACAAGAAAACCTTAATTATAATGAATATCATATACCCAATCACCAACTTTTTTCAAACTATTACATATGAATTTGGTCCGGACACATATTACTGAAACACTGTCTAAATAACATCCTTCTAATGTATAGGATTCAATAATTCAAAATTTCATGATAGTTCAGCTTATTAGTTGAAATCAACCCTACAATGAAGGCAGAAATATACATTGAAAACTTTGCAGTAAGACATTACAGCGAGAAAAGTGAAAAACTGATGATAGAAAAACAGTTGAATCAAATTCATGGTTTGTAAATCGATTTATAATATACACAATTCCAGGAGAAATTTCACAAAGTTAACTTTTCTAAATCGAAATTATTCAATATCAGAACAAGGGACGATTAGGAAAGCAAGCATAGAATTGAAAACTCGAAATGCAATTGCAGAGGCTTGTGCAATTCGAGTTTATAAACCAGGTCTCTGTGTACCAAAGGAAATGGTCATCACTCTCAATCTACCATGGTAATACTCATTATTCTACCTCTTGTTATTATTCTTGATTCCTTTAAAATTATTCATTATCAGTAGCATTATCTTAACTCACTTCAACACTATTATTATTATTATAACTATTACTACTGATATTACTCAGTTAGCGATTCTCCATATATTCTCTAATGACTAATTGTGTATCTAAGTGATGTAATTGAAGCGCAATGCAATTTATCTTAATTTTAATCTCTCATACTCTCTCTCCCCTTATCTATTTATTTGAAGATGACCTGGAAAAACATTCGCACCTGTCTTTCTGCATGACTAATTCAATGTAGTTTATTTGTGCTTATCAGTTTTATATCTCCCAATGTAATTTCAAAAGTATATATATCCGTGTCTGTAGAGTGTTCAGCTGATGAGTTCTACCGAAATTTGATGAATTCATTAAATCCTGCTTTATTAACCTGCTTTGTTGCTTTTTGTAAAGCAAGCATAATTGGATGATGATGGTGATGTGTACTACTTATTAACTGAAATGAGTAGCTAACTGTACACTATTCATGTCAGCTAGCAGAGCTTGTCAACCAGTTAGAATGAAATGATTTAAACATCAGACAGTGGTTCACCTCGTTTGAAACCGAGCTTGTCAGCGATGTACCAAGTTTAGCTGAACTCAGAGAACCGAATCAATTCAAATCACCTGAATTGTGGCTAGTCTGGTAGTTAGATCACGTTGATCTGACTGGCTAGTAAGCACAACTGGTTACTTTAAGTGATATGCAACTACTTATACCACTAATTCAGTAGTAGATAGCGGAAAGAAAATACAGTAAGTAGAAAAGTCACACCTGAATAAAAAAAGTACTGTTACCTAACATTCTTTATGACCTTAATAACATTACACAGATAGATAAGTCACTAAATTAGCAAAAATTTTATTCTGAAGACAAATTTATTGGTCACCTCCCTTGGGAATAAACAGTTTATACCCCCCCCCCCCACCCAATTAGAGTACATGGGAAGAGAGGTGAAAGCACATACTGTTAGGAATATACAGATAAACATTCGTACACCCGCTAAGGAACATTAAGATTCAAATTTATAAGTTCATCATCCGCATAATTATCCATTTTTTCTTGTGATTAGAAGGTAACCGACCTCATGCAAATTTCATTCTACATTTTGTCTCTTCTTTATTATGCATTTCGTTAGAAGGTAGGTAGGCAAGCTGGTTAAAAGTTTCATGTTACATTCCAGCTTCATGCTAAATAACTTAACCTTGGCGATGAACAGACAGTGAGTGAGTGATACAATGAAATATTTATGATTACTTATGAACAATTCTCATTCAAGCAGTTATGAACGGAATAAGTAGTTCAGAAAAAAAGTTCTGCTCTTTCAGTGATCTCATTTTTCCTAGCCAAACTGTCATAGTTATATAAAAGGGGATGTTATTGAAAGAGGTGAATTGTAAGAAGCATATTTGTTTCAAGATACATATTATAGATTTTAGAAGACAACAGTTGGTGAACAAAGAACCTACAAAGCAATACTTGAAAATCAATGGCATGCTCACTAGCGACTGGCCCTATTCAGGTAGGTAGTTACCTGGGGTTCTAATGGGAAGCCGTGACCGGTAGGATGCAGCAGGTTGATGGTGAGGACAGTTGTTCATCGAAGACATTTCGAAGTGGTTGCGCTATGTCGTGAATTGGCAGAAGTTAGAATTCATGGGTCAGTGGATCGAGTCCCAGTGGCTTAATGGTCTACGAGTTAGAATCCTTGAGATGGGTGTCTACTGATGGTGAGTCCAAAACTAGTACGAAACAGCTGTCCAGTACTCCGTCGCTTTCAATGGTTCTCTAACTGATATCAATCCGTGGTCATAGTCGTAAAAGCAAATCTAATGCTTATAAACCAATCCTTGAAAATAAAGATGCTTATAGAACATTCAAGGTGAAGTCGTAAACTTTTGCAATAAGACTGCTGGCTGTTGAATACTTCTCAGCTTATTTAAATTTGACGATAATGATGATGATAAGAACCGTCTTTAAAATCAGTAACGTTCTCAGGTGCTTTTCATCCATAAAGCTATTGCGAGTGTACCTCCATATGTTATTCAGTCATTTATCGCATCGATTATGCCAAGACATCATGAAATTTTAGGCACTGACCATAACACTTGTTCTCAGAATAATTTCACATTTTTCGTTTAACAATTACCATCATGAGCTGACATCAGTTACAGAACCATTGGAAAACCAGCTGGAAGTACTGGACAGCTGTTTCGTCTCACCTATTCGAGGCTCTTCGGTGGTACGCACCTATCTCAAGGATTCTAACCAGGAACCTTCTGGTT